GCCGATGGCAGTCGCTTAATGAATTGAGCCACCCAGGCACCCCATAAACGGTCTTTTAATACAAATAGTAGCATACCATATACACTGTGCATCCAAAGTGTTTTCAAAATGATTAATTTTCCCATTATAAAAGTATCGACAATTTTAGAAAATTTGCAAAATGCAAGAAAGTGAAAGAGAGAAAAAAGTCTCCCCAAAGATAACCATGCTTAGTGGTTTGGTCTATTTCTTTTTCCCCACTCTCTTTTACCCCCCCCCCCCCTTCATACATTTGTTTTTCTTTGATTTTTTTTTTTTTAAATCTTCAGTGGGTATTTTTAAATTATAAAAATAGTGCCTGCTCACTGTAAAAAAAAAAAATTTATGTGGCAATATATACAGGAAACAGTGAAAACCCAGCACCCAGCCACGCTCCCTGGAGGTAATCTCGATTACCAGGTGATCCAAAATACACACTTCACACAAAATAGGATCACATTGTAAATGGGGTTTTTTGCAACTTGCTTTTTTTTTTAAGGTTAACAACACGCATGGTGGGGGGGCGTTCCATTCTGTACGGGGAGAAGTATGTGGTTGTTCCCCGTGGCGTCTAGCATCCTATAATGTATACTGTGACTCAGTCAGCTCAGGATTGACGGACTTAAAGTTGTTGCACGATTTCTGCAAGGCTTCTGGATATTCCGTACCGGATGGAGGATTTCGAGTGGGCTCCCTGTACCTTGTGCCCATCCCCCCACCGTGGTGCGGTTGCCTGATGTTCCAGCAGGATGCCCATTGAGGTCGGAGAGGCTTAGGAGAAAACTTGCCAGTCTGCTGTGATGGTCTCCCTTCAAGGAGCACATGAGATACTTATCTGAAGCACCCGTTGCATAATCTTTACAGCAGGGCCAACAAGGCAACTTTGGGCCAAATATTTATGGCCTGGGTTTAACCGAAACCCAAATAATGGCTAGAACGCTTCTCCCAGAGAGGAGTGTTTCTGTCCCTGGGCAGTCGTTTACTAGAGGGATCTGTTATAAGTGCTTTACATTTTTGTGGTTTCAAGATAAAGCTGCCTCAACCCAGTAAATTATGTATGGGGGGAAAGACAACAACATGATTCTAGGGAAGGATGAAAAGTCTGGGCGCATCAAACCAGTAAAGAAATCCAAGACCGTTTCCACTCTTCTCCAACACCTTACCACGGAGGTGCAGATGACTTTATCAGGCTCACCCTTTTGTGCTCAAGGGTCCAGATAAGATCTCCAAATAAGCATGCTTTTCAAGTGTCCTGAGTGTTCTCAGAATCACCTGACTCCCCCCGAGTTCGCAGCCTTCTGGGCCCTAATAGAGCCTATTTTATCTCACAAGGGGCTTTCTCATCCCACCTTATATCCCAAACATTTGAGCTCTGAAGTCCAAATTGGCTTTTACCACGTTTCACAGCCAGACCGGCTTCACCGATCGCACGTAACTCGAACATGTTCCAGATGTCGTCCCTGCGTCCTACACCATCTGTACAGGGCAGGAGGGTGGACACGGGGACGCCTGTTGGTTTTCTGTGTGTAGGGCCTGCAATTCCTTCTCTTCCCCAACCATATAGGACATTCTCTATGGGGTCGGTTCATTCCGGGCTATCAGCCCTAAACTCAGCTGACTTCACTTTCCTGCCTCTGTGGCCTGACCACGGCTCTGAGGATCAATGAGGAAATATCTTACGAAATAATTTCCCGGGCTGATTTGCTTTTTTAAGGAGATTTTATTTGTTGGGGTGCCTCGGTGGCTCCGTCGGTCATGTGTCTGGCTCTTGATCTCAGCTCAGGTCATGATCTCAGGGTCGCGGGATCGAGCCCCGCGTCAGGCTCCATGCTCAGCAGAGTCTGCTTCTCTCCCTCTACTCTCTGTGCTCGCGTGCTCTCCCTCTCAAATAAATAAGTCTTTAAAAAAAAAAAGAAATTTTATCTGTCAAAATGTGCATTCTGGAAATTAATTGACACACTTCTGGCAAAGACAAGAGCATCCCTGTGGAAAGAGTTCCTCCTAGGATGTTGAGTTCAGCTCAACAATCGAGACGGCATCATCCAAGTCCGTCCTGTCGGCCGACACGTTAAAATCTGCTGATAGGCCTTCACGTTACTTTGAAGATCTCGTCAAGATGACAAAATGAAGAGACATCTCGGTGGGACATTGGGGAGCACATTCGCCCACGTGGGCTGGCCACGGCGCTCAGGGAGACCGATTCGGAGCCTCCAGTCTGAAGAACACGGGAGGATGTGTTTGTGCAGCTAGAAATGCCCAGACCCCGCTATCTGTCCAGCGTAGCTCTCACACCAGTTTTGGTTAAGTCCGGATTTAGTGTTTATCTTAATATGACTCTGTTAGTCCCGTTTGCGGCTGGGCGGAGGAATTTTGTGGTGATGGTCCTTTCTTGGCTTGTCTGTTGTTTGCTCTTTTTGGAACTGATAATTATTTCGCTATTTTTCTTAGCACACTGTTCACTGTCATGAATTGGCCCAGATGGGTCGTATTTTTCCTCACTCTCTGAACTGGTTTCCTGTCTTTCTTAGAGCTACCCTTGCTAGAACTCTCTTTCCTCCTGAGTCAGTAGAACTGGTTGGTTTCAAGGCCTGCTACTCAGGCGTTAGCCTGGAATTCCGCCCCCCACTCCCAGCCTCTTTTCTTGTTGGATTTCCTGTTTCCTTTGTCTTCCTCTTTCTTGGTTTAGACCCTCATTTTGGTGGAGTGCATTCTTTACTAGCTTTCCGGGAAATGGTGCGTGGGAGGCAAATTTTTTGAGTTTTTATGGGATTGACCACAGTTGTCTTCTGCCCTCCCCTTGTTGGACGTTTGGCTGGACTTGGAATCCTAACTTGAAAGCAATTTTCCGTGGCTTTGGCCTCTCTCTCTTTTACTTTGGAGGGTTTCCTTCAATGCCTGGTAATCCACTGCTCGTTCACGTGTGAGAGAGGCCTATTCACTTGAAAATAATTTCCCTCACCGGAAGTTTCCTCTCCAGTAAAGGTGAAGATATAATCCTTTGCAAAACTTCAAATACGATATCATTTCTTATTTTGTTATTTCAGTGCTTGCCTGTAGAGCAGACACAGAATATTCTGGAATTTTCACCTCAATGTGCTTCCAAGTAGCATTTCGGTAATATTCAGAACATGGACTTTCATGAGAGCATCTCCAGGTTGTGGGGGCTTTTGATTGTGATTAAAAAGTACACGTTCCTTAAAAAAGAGGAAAAGAAACCACACAGATTTTACAAATCATGTGATTTTTAATTCAAGCTTTTTAAAATTTTTGAAAATATTCTATATTTACTTACGGCATTTTATGATTTTATTCTTTACATGTAGATGTCTGATCCTTTTGAAACTTATTTTGATGTAGGGAGAGAGCTGCATGTGCAACTGAGTTGTGTTTTTTAATCCCCAGATGGCTAGCCAGTTGACCTGATCTCATTTATATAACATAACAAATTCCCACGGAGAGTTGTGTCTATTTTGGGATTCACTTTTCTGTGCTGGTATGTCTGTCTCTTCATATGAAGGAACCCAACTGCTTTAATTATTGACCTCATTCCTCTCCCTTTGCAGAGTTTTAGGGGGATATTTTTAATATTTATTTCCCATAAGAACTTTAGAATCAATCTGTTTAGTCCCCAAAATAGTTCCGTTCCTATTTTTATAGGAACAAGGATTGGGTTAAATTTATAGGTTAACTTAAGAAGAATGAACATCTTTAAGGTTTGAGTCTTTCTGTCCAAGAATAGCATTTTTTCTTTCAGTGTATTTAAATCTGCATAAAATGTCTATAAATCATTTTGTCCATGTACATTGACCAATTAACAAGAGATGTCATATATATAAAATTTGCATATAGATGTTACGTATAGACGTCTCTTTTTAATTGGTTAATTTGGGTATTTTATTTTTATTGTTTTAATGGTCATGGGTCTCTTTTCCTCCATGAGAATTTTTAAAAAATTTTTTATTGTTATGTTAATCACCATACATTACATCACTAGTTTTTGATGTAGTGTTCCATGCTTCATTGTTTGCGTATAACACCCAGTGCTCCTTGCAGAACATGCCCTCTTTAATACCCGTCACCAGGCTAACCCATCCTCCCACCCCCCTCCCCTCTAGAACCCTCAGTTTGTTTCTCAGAGTCCATCGTCTCTCATGGTTCGTCTCCCCCTCCGACTTCCACCACTTCATCTCCATGAGAATGTTTAACTGGTTACAGTTTTTATATAGGAAAATAGTTCTGTGTTCTGGCCTCTTGAAAAATCAGACGCTTCAGTCACGCCGGGCGCTCGTCCCACATGGCAGCAATTGCCTGGAGTCTTTGCTCTTTGAGATGGATGACCACGCACTCTTCCATCAACTTTAGGCCAACGTCCAATTGCCATTTGGCATCGCGTTTGAGCCACAGGTGCCTGGGAGATAGTGGAGTTTCTGAACTTTGCCTCTAAAACCCAAGGAGTTGGGAGTGGGTTGGATGCTGCACAGTGAGGCTGAGGGAGGACGTGCAGCTCTGGTTTAGGCAGCAGACGGGGCTGGTACCGGAGCCGGGAGCTCCCCGCGTGCAGAGTGGACCATGAGTTTGTTTCTGGACGTGCGTGCGCAGTGCCCGTGGGCCGAGGCGGGGAGACATCCAGGAGGCAGTTGGGCATGCAAATCCAGAGTTCCCGTTAGCCGTGTAGATCTGGGGGTCAGCAGCTTCTAGAAGGCAGCTGAAGCCGTGGGCATGGACGAGCTCGCCCGGGGAGAGTGCTGGATGTGAAGAACCTCCAGGAGCCTGCATTGAAGGGAGCTGCAGGGCAAGCAGATTCCTTGCAGGGTCTCCAGCGCCCAGCCGAATGGGGTTTCCAAGGGATGCTAGAGACAGAAGGACACTTGTACCAAAAGGCAGGCAGACAAGAGGGGAACTGTGGCCTGGAAGCCAGGGAAGAACGCAAGAGCGCGTCCCAGGAAGGCAAGGCAGGGAGGAGTCTAGCATGAGAGGGCGGAGGGCCAGGTCTGAGGAGGCCTGCAGGGCTTGGGGACAAGGTGTCCCAGGGAGACTTGACGAGGGCAGTTGTGGAGGCAAAGGGGACAGAGGAGTTCTCGAGGACAATTCTATGTGGAAGGTGCGCAGTAAAGGGGAGTGCGGGGCCCGGTATCCGCAGAGGGATACGGAGTCTGGGGGGCCGGTTTGGGTTTGGTTTTTTCAAGGTGGTAGAACCTTGGCCTTCTTTGACTGTTGAGGAGAGCGGGAGGGGGTGGCATCTGAGGAAGCGGGAGGAAACCGTGTCAGGACGCGGAACCCAGGAGGGGGCCTTGGCCTTGGGAGGGAGGAGGGCCTCTTCCGTCCTAAACGGGAGAAGCCATGGGTGGGACACAAGTCCCCAGGCTTCTGGGTTTTATAGTGGGAAGTACGTGGAGTCTCCTGATGGCTTTTGTATCCCTGTGGTGTAGGAGGTGGGCTTTCTGCAGAGACAGGGAGGGGCAGGTCTGAGAGAGTGGGGAGGCGCTGCCGGAGGTGGCCGTGAGCACAGGAGGGGGGCAGCCTGGGGAGACCCCCACATGCAGCGTGGGGAGCCCTCGGGGTGCTCATCTATGTGGTCCCGTCTCGCTGGGCCGCCTGCACAGTGGCGGGGGGATGGCAGCAGATTGAACCAGGGTTGGGGTTCCGCTAGGTGGCTTACGCTAAGGAGCAAGTGAGGAGTGGCAGGAGGACCGTGCAAGTGACAGATGGCAGGGTCTGTGGATCAGGAGGCAGTGATGGGGGGGACACACAGGCAGGAGGAGAGCCCGTGGTCAGCGGTGTGAGGTCAAAGATCAGGTCCTTTGGGAGGGCAAGTGCTGGACCTGGGAGGACGCTGGGCTCGGGTGGAAGGGCGTCTGAGGGGCTGATCTCAGAGGTGGCGCATTCAGGACGTGGCTGTGACACCCGGGAGGGAAGGGCGAGAAGCTCCCCGGATGGGAGGCCACACGCACAAGTCAAATTCCTCTGGTATTGCATTTAACAGAGGAACAAGAAACAGCTGAAATCCGTTTGAATACTCAACCCGATATTGCCCCAAGTATGATCCTTCCAACATGTAGTTAATATAAAAATTGTTACTGGGGAGTTTTCTATTCTTTTTTTCATGCAAAGTCCTCTCTGCCTTCCATCTCTGTGTCTTTCTCTCTACTTTCCGAGAGATTCCTGTCGATTTCGTTGTTAACGGGCTTGTTTGTTCATTAATGTCGTGCTATCGTCTTTAACTTCCAAGAGCTCTTCTGGGTTTTGGGTCACGGATGCTCTTCTCTCTCTCTCAGGATGTTCACACAGTTTTGTTGCGTCTTCTTACTTGGTGTGGGCAGCTTTCTTTCTGCGCAGCCCCTGCCCCCTCGTCTCTCCTTGGAGTTGGCTTTTCTTCTCTTTGGTTGTTTTGCCTCCTGCCTTTTGTGCTAGGAAGGACAGAGACTGATGTTTTGTGATCCTTGGTTGTCCATCTTCAAGGGCAGGGAGCTGGAAGGCGGACTGGAAACTCTGCTGAGCCGGCCGTGGGGCTCATCAACTGTGGGCTGTTTCCAGGGGACCCCTGAGGGCACCGTCCTTGGAACTCACCCCTCAGGCTGGCCAGAGGCCACGGGGCAGTTCTCTGGGCTTCGTTCTGGAGAGTGTTTGTCCAGCTGCCCGAGCGCCGGTTGCTGGGTGGGAAAAGAAGGCTGGGGGTCTTAACATTCAGTGTGCACGTGGACCCTTAATGTCCCCTCCTCTCAGTACACCCCCTCCTTCAGCCGGGTCTGGGTCCCCAGTCCAAGACCCTCCGTCGGTCTGTCTCTGTACTGTCTCTCCAGACAAGAAGCCTTCCATCTTCTGCTGGGGTGATGAGGGAACTTGATTAACTGTGCAGAGTAGGGGCAGGGACAGGTGGGGAGCTGTTTCCACAAGCTTCCCTTCCTGAGACGCTCGGAGACACCACCCTGGGGCTCAGAGAGCCCCACGGCACAAATGGTCTCCATCGCCCCCTGAGGGTGCCGGCTCTGCTCCTTACCCGGCGGCTTCTCAGCTTCTGGTCTGCCTCTAAGGGTTTATGCCCTAAACACACAAAGTACCCCTTTACTGCTGTGGGGGTTTGGGCAGGGAGGGCAGCAAAAGTCAGTGAGTCCAGGCAGCCTTCTTTACCGGGAGGTTCTGCTTCATTCCTTATCTCTGTCTCTGTGCCTCCCAGCCCGCCACCCTGGGGCCGCTGCTGACTCCAGGTCAGGCCCTCCAGCAATCCCCTGAGCTGCCTTGCCCTTTCTCCCCGAGGTCCCTGCTGATTCTCTTTGTGGAGATTGACTACTGGGAACGGCTGCTCTTTGAGACGCCCCACTACGTGATGAATGTAGCCGAGCGCGCGGAGGACCTGCGCATTCTTCGGGAAAACCTGTTGCTTGTGGCTCGAGACTACAATCGGTAAGGTTGCAGTCCTCAGCGCAGCCTTCTGTGCGCCTTCTGAGCCCCCTCTGTGTCTTATCTGTCCCGTGATGTCGTCTATCTCCTGCAGGATCTATCCTTTACATTTGACCATCTCAAAAAAATGCTTTCTCCTACCCTCTTGTATGGCCCTGCGGTTATTCCTGTCCCTTGCACTTTTGTCTTCTAGCTTCAGGGTAGAGAGCAAAAACAACCCAACCTGGTCCTCTCCAACCCCACAGGTCACCGGGGCCACGTATACTGTGGGCCTGGGTCACTTTTCTAGAATGAAATTGGGGGCATTAGCATCGTGGGCACAGGATAACATCGGTGTTATTGAACCAAGGCCACCCTCGCACCCTTCTCTCAATACCCTTGGTACTTAACTCTGGCTGAGGCTTTGCTCTGGGTTGGGCACCTCTCTCAGCCCAGTTAAAGTCCAAGTGAGTGGAGCCAGCAGTCTTGTCTGGGCGTCTAGAACTACACGGTCCAATATGGCGGCCCTCAGTGGCACGTGGCTATTTCTATTTTAATTATTTAATTGGAATTATGTAAAATCTTAAAATTGAGTTACTCATTCGCACAGGCCACATGTCAAATGCCCCACAGCCACACTTCATGGTTAGTGGCGACCGTGCGTGGACAGCACGAAGTGTAGAGCGTTTCCACTATTGGTGAAAGTTTTCTTGGAAAGCACGGTGTAGCCTTGTGAGTTTCCCGATGTCTCCACCGAGTTTCCTGGTGCGGAGGAGAAGCCTGAAGAGCTTGGCCCACCCACTGCCAGTCTTCTCTCATACACAGGATCATTGCCATGCTGTCCCCAGATGAGCAGGCCCTCTTCAAAGAACGTATCCGATTCCTGGATAAGAAGATCCACCCTGGACTCAAGAAACTGCACTGGGCCCTGAAGGGGGCCAGCGCCTTCTTCATCACAGAATGCCGAATACATGCCAGCAAGGTGGGTCCTGGTCACTAGGCTCTGAAGGTCTGCAAGGCCGACCCAAAGACCGGTGTGTGAGTGATCAGTACAGAGACCAGGGAGTAGTGTGAAAAATGAAGCATGCTGAGGTACATTATTTTTAATGTGAGCAGCTCTGGCTCGAGGACGGGTGGGAGGATAGCTCGGAGCCCAGAGGGTCTCTTCCCAAACTGAGGCTCCCCTGTGGGCGCGGTCTGACTCTAGGTGCAGACCATCGTGAATGAGTTCAAGGCCTCCACTCTGACCATTGGCTGGCGAGCCCAAGAGATATCCGAGACTCTGTTGGTGCGCATCAGTGGCAAACGGGTATACAAGGACCTGGAATTTGAGGAGGACCAGCGGGAGCACCGGGCGGCTGTTCAGCAGAAATTGATGAGCCTGCACCAGGACGTGGTGGCCATCACGACCAACTCCTACGAAGTCTTCAAGAATGACGGCCCTGAGGTGCGGGTCCTGGGGCCAAGGCTCTGTGGCTGGGCGAGCCCTCCGGGGCCCATCGGAACTTTCGCTTGGTTTTCCTGTCTACCCTTTGTGGGGGCTTCTCAGACGCCCTGCTCTCGTCTTGGGTTCACCCAACCTTCAGTCTCTCAAGCCTTCTTCCTTCGGGACTCCGCATCCTACCTTTCTCTTTAACCAGCGTGTTGCCTTCCCCATTGGCCCTGTTTCCCCTGAGGGCCCATCCTTCTGCCCATGCCCTCCCCCAGATTCAGCAGCAGTGGATGCTGTACACAATTCGGCTGGACCGCATGATGGAGGATGCCCTGCGTCTGAATGTGAAGTGGTCGCTGCTGGAGCTGTCCAAGGCCATCAACGGGGACGGGAAGACCACGCCCAACCCCCTCTTCCGAGTCCTGGTCATTTTGCAGAATGACACACAGGGAGGTGTGGCACAGGTGGGGACCTTGACCCCTGATGTTCCAAAACTGTCTCTATTTTCGGTTTCCCTCAATCCTTAAACTTCCCTAAATCCCTTGGCCTTGACTTCATCCTGTGGCTTCCAGGGCTGGTTCTGCGGTGTTCAGCCTTCCCAGTCCTGAGGCTCCATGGCCTACGCTGAGGCCATCTCCCCTGTGTTTCCCCCCACCGCCAGGTGGAATTCTCACCCACTCTGCAGACGCTGGCAGGTGTGGTCAATGACATTGGCCACCACCTCTTCTCCACCATCTCTGTCTTCCACCACCTCCCCGAAATTCTCATCAGGCGCAAGTTTCATCGTGACCCCATCCACATAATCGTGGGTGAGTGGGCAGTGGGGAGGGCACCGGGTGCAGGGCCATCAGAGACTTAGGGAGGGGCAGAGCCAGGAGGAGAGGCCAGGGCCGTTTCCAGACGTGGGGCTGGTCATCTCTGTGATGCTGGGAAGGCCAGGTCGGGGGCCAGTCGGGGAAGGGAGCAAGGGTGGTGGTGGGAGTGGAAGGTAAGTGACTCACGCTCAAGGGCTTTGGGACTGGGGTGGGAGATTCAGAAGGACGAGTTTGGGACTGGGGCAGGATAGGAGGCGCCCTTCTGAATCCTCGGGCTGGATCCGACTCCCCCTCTGCTTACGAATGCTCACGGTTGAGCTGTATTTCTTTGGGGAGGTGGTGTTGGAGAGGAGGATCCAGTGGCCAGGGCCCAGGCTGGAGCTTGGGTTGGGCTGGGAGTGAGTGAGAAGCATTTTGCTGGCTCTTGAAGAGCGAGACGAGGACATCAAGAAGATCCAGGCCCAGATCAGCAGCGGCATGACCAACAACGCAAGCCTGCTGCAGAACTACCTCAAGACCTGGGATTTGTATCGGGAGATCTGGGAGATCAACAAGGACTCTTTTATTCGCCGCTATCAGCGTCTCAACCCCCCCGTCTCTTCTTTTGATGCCGACATTGCCCGGTAAGGAGCGAAGGTGGCTGGGAAGCCTAGCATCCCGGGAGGAGGCCCAGGCCTACGGGCTCGGGAAGAGCGTTGGGGAAGGGAGAGCTGCAGAAAACGCGTGTCCGCAACCTTGGGAGGAGATCGGGAGCTAGGGCATCGGACCTTTGTTTCTCAAGGGGTAGAGGTCACATCAGAGCTGGACAAAATTTAGGGGAATGGTCTTGTCTTTTTTTTTTTTTTTTTTTTTTGGTGGGGCGCACCCACAGGGTCCTGTTGGGAAACGACAAATGTAAAGGCCTGAAGGGTGAGAAGCAAGCACTTTTTTT